AAATGTCATGGATATATCATATATTGTTGAGTCTGATTCATTAGAAAAATCTCAATTATTACTTTCCATTTATTAACGTTTCAACTGAATTGAAATGAATTGACTGACAACCAAATTGATAAATTAATGATATGAATATCCAAAAACATAATTTGTTTCTTTTTTTAATTGATTCCTAAGAAATTCACCGGACCCAATTCCATCATGGTTAGTACAATAAATTATCATCTAAATTTTGATTTGTTCGTCTTTATGGGTTGACTAGGTAAAATATTCATCTAACTTCACTTGAGAAAAAAAATAGAACTAATTAAGACGAACTCACAACTAAATGAATATTTCCCAACTCCAAAAACCCCCCTATTTCAGAGACGCACTTTTGAACGTGTCTATCTTCTCATATATCACAAATTAAAGAAAGATAAAACTTATGTACTTAGTTTTATATATTTAATATACTTTTATTTAGTCAAATTAAAACATATAGATTTTACTGTGTTAAAATATTATAAACAAGAGTTTATTATACAATAAATAATTTATAAAAGATTCACATATCTTGATTTAATTGAAAATAAGTATTTTAAGTAATAAGAATAAATATATACGTTTTACACACACATATAATCTGTGCGTATACATCCACTTATACATTTATATTTATGACCGTTATCATTTCTGTGGGCTAGCTTTTGAATGAAGTAATAACTTAGTTTGGCCATCTGATCTCTTTTAAGGTAAGTAGGTACGTAACTAACGAAAAAGATGAGTGAATTTGAATGAAAGGGGTGTAATTTACTTCCAGTTACTAACCATGATTCTTATTTCATTCGCTTTTTTATAAGTTACTTTCTAACATAATTTATTGAAACTAAAAAAAAAATCGTAGAACCCCTCAACCTTTAATACGTTATTAACTTTATCTCTATTTAAATATATGTACTTTTTCTTACCATCAACATTAAATTAATGAAGTGTAAAAAGGAGAAACATATATTAAAATTTAAAGTCAATATATATCTTATTATAAATCAAAGAATCGTTATTTCTCTACCTTCTAAATGAGATCGGAGGGGAGGAGTAACTTTATTCCTACCCGACCCCAAACTAAATTTTACGTAGGGACAAAAAAGCAGTGAATGTTGGGTTTAACATAGGTGGGATGGCAATGAACAAAAACAAGATTATATGGAAGTGATATAGAATAGGAGAGAGGAGAGACAGAATGATCAACGAGTAGATGAGGTGGTGGGTCTGTGTAGATCTATTATTGATAGAAATAATGTGCCAAAACTAGTAACCACCAACCTGTAGGCTAAGGAGCCACATGCTGTGCTGCTGCCGACCCTAAAATTCAGTCCACCTATATACCTCTGCCCATAAATATAATGGACCAAATCAGCAGCATTACATTCCATCTCAACACAAATCCCATTTCAATCACACAAAGTTGCATTGCTTGTCTGAAGATGATAGAGGACAAGAAAAAATGAAAATAAAGTGAACCAATATCATGTCTTAACCCAAAATCTTAATTACTAGTCAATTTATAGCTGGTCACATTTCAAAATTTAAACCACACTGACATGGGACTGATATGTGTGATTGATATCAGATTCTATTGTCAAAAACCAGTTAGCGTCAAATGGAATTATTGTTCGAGTATTGAAATTGAAATGTGCTGGATGGGGATCAAGTGGGGACATGATCACGTAACCAAATTACATCAAATAGTGTGTGGAGTTTAAAATCGGAGTCGATGCCCTAAATAATCCCGCAGATTTGCTCATCCTTTCCCAGCTACACCGTGTGGCTAGTGCGGAGCATATTTGATTTTGAAAAACATTAGATATGGATGTTTTTCTATAGCGGGACCATTTTTTGTTCCCCTGTGCAGCGTGTACGACACGGGATTAAATTCCATGTGAGCAATGGGTACGTACGCGACCCAGCTAGCTAGGTAGCATTTTCACTCAGACATTTAATGGTTTTGATGCTAAATAATGGCAAATCATGTGGTTATCAGACGAATTATTGAGGAAATTAAAGTTGTCTGCCTTGCATTTAATCTACGTGCTCGCTGGTGATATTAATATTCTGACGTATTTTTTTGATGCCATGCAGATAAAGTCTCAGTTTCAGTTAATCCGTAGTTTAAGATCAACCATACATTTCACCGCCACGTGCCCCTTCATATTTAACTCTTCATTTAATTACACATATCAACTTGTTATCCATTTTCTCCTTCAAGGTTTGAGATACAGGAGTATTTCTTTTCATCCCTATTATATGGTGCCTTTAAAAGAATTAATTATTTGATCTTTAATGTAAGGTGGTTGACAGGAGTATAATTATGTTTTTTTTTAAATTATTCCTTTTAAACTCATAAACAGTGAGTTGTATATATGAATTTTTCATTTAATAGGAAAAAAATTGAAAGTTTATTTTATTTTCAAATAAATTAATGACTTAACCACTTCTCATTTGCTAATAAGGTAGTTAAATGTATGTGCCTTATACTCCCTATTATAGGGCAAAGAAAAAAGATTTTTTTTTGTGGTTCCATTTATAAATCACCTTATTAAATTTTCAACATAAGTTTCTCTTTTACCCTCCATTAAATGTATATTAAATTTTTAAAAAGAAAAAATATGTTGTTAAATATATATATATAATATATATTTAATAGAGACAAAGTGGAGATTTTGTTAAATTTTAAAATAAAGTTAATGAATTTTAAAATTTTTCTTAATTTCAATAAAATATATTAAAAAAATTTATAAATAAGAACAAAGTAATCATAAAGACGGTAGGGTGCTACGTTAGTTGTAGCGCACGTACCTTCAGGATTTCAAATTAAATTTTAATCAAAATTCATGCTCCCAAAATCTGGATTATTTTCCTTTTTCCGTGAAAGGTAATTATCTGCGGGCAGAAATGAAATTTTTTTGTTGCTCTAGAAAGTGCTACAGTCTCAGTTGTCAATTTTCATTATGTACATATATTGATTCATCTATGCCACCAAACGAATAATGGAGGTAGAAAGAATTATCTTCTTTTTTCCAAATTTTAAAACCAAAACGAATTAGCTAGGGATATCATTTTTTTTCTTTTTGAATAAAAAGAAATATAACTTAAAGTTCTGTCCCCATATATGCCACCAAGAATTCATTGTTTTCTGGTCTTGTTGCTTTAAAATGGACAGTACATATTTAACAATGTGTCCTCAATCGCTATATATAATACGCAGCTGAAAGAGGAAATAGGTTCGATCAGAACACAATTAGCTTTGCATTCATACCTCATTTTCAAAAAAGTCCAACGTGGCTTCTCAACGAGTAGCTGTTCTATATTGATTTAAATCATGTCTGTACAATTTATACAATTAGATGAATGTGCTTTATAAATTAAAAACTGGTCCACATACGCAGTTATTACCATCTACCGCTCTCCTGACTTCTTGTGAAGGAGGTTTCGCCAGCGCCAAGTGATTTGAATTGAGAGACGTACGAGAAGACTGATAATATATATATATATATATATATGTAATGTATCGATAGCATAGCTACATATCTGTGACAAAATATAATTGAAACTCATGTTCTTTTTTCCTTAGCAGAATCTCATTATTCTTAACATGGCCAACCAGCTGGCGCTACAAAAATGATACCTCTGTGTGTGTGTGTGTGTGTGTGTGTTTATTATATATAATTTAAATACGGTTTTCGGGTCTGGCTGAGGTATACCTTATCCGATGGATATGAAATTGACAAAAGGATAATATGTTATACTAATGATACATGGGAATTGATTATGATTGAGGAACCATATTTTTAATTTGGTGGTTGCTTTAAAGTCGTGTCCGTATAAATAAAGGTAGCTTTGGATTGGGCAGAATAAAATTATATTAATTATAGTGGTGGGAATATCCTAAGCTAGTCTTGCCTTTTCCCTACCCAACTAATTTCAATGGGAGAATGATAATTAAGTTTCAAAAGATTGAATTAGTAATAATCAACTCCCCCATATGTTTTAAAAAAAAGTAAATTAAAAATATCAATTTAAACAAATGAAAATTTAAGAATTTCAAATATAATTTTTACATAATAATTAAAATTCTTATTTATAATTATCTACATTAATATTTGCAATTCATTTTTTTAAAAATTATTATTGATAATCTAATTGTGATTAATTTAATTTTTTCAGGAGTAGCTGTCATCCTCCAAATTTGAATTGTACCGATCATAAGTGTTTATTATATTTTAGTCAGGAAGGTAAGGGTATATAATTAGAGTGAGAAACATGGTTTTATAATCTGAGTGGAAACTAAAAGAAATTAAAGGTTTTTTTGGAGGGGGGGTGAAGAAATGCGGAGAGAGGCATCGCCAACTGGAGAGTAGCAGCAAACAAGGGAGGCCATGAAAATTGATATAGCGGAGAACCAATGATCAAATGCGACCATCGAAAGGATGGCCCACAGATTGAACGGTTCTGATTAATTGATGAGGGTAGTTGGTGGGCCCGTGTACCAGTAGGGGCATTATATTATTAGCTACTAGGATTTTTTTTTTTTCCCGCCTCAAAAAGGATTTAAGACTTACCATGGATCTTTCTGCAGTGCCGGCAACCACTGTTCCATGAGAAAGGGAAATTTTTGTTTTGTTTTTTTACAGAAATTAAAAAGAGAAAAAAAAAAAACAGAGAGAGAGAGAGAGAGGGAGACGGAGGAATGATCCACCTGTTTGTCAGTGAAATGGTACATTGGTTCAGGTAACCAGCAGCAGGTGGGGTCCACCACCTGAGGCAACACCCGGAACCGATAAGGTCACGGCCCCACAGTACTATTACCCCCCCCCCCCAAAAAAAAAAAATCACGCCTCCTCCGCTCTCTCCATCTGAAAAATCTTAATCATTGGTGCAGTAAAAGCCTCGAAATTTATGGCAAACTGTTGAGGATCTTAAGGATAAAAATTCCAAAAAGCGCTGCAAATTCAATACATTAATGCACTAAATAGCCACTGAATTTATATTTGCCTGGCGGTAACACTGTTCTATCCCTCTACTGTCACACGCACGAACTTGTGGCCCATAAAGGGAGTGACAGATTTTTTATTGTTTTTAGAAATAAAAGGAGGGAAAAACCCTAAATGCCAGTTAGGTAGGAAACTCACCAAAGGCCGGGGAAGTGAGTCGTTTTCCATCTTCTGTTGAACATCAAAAGCATAAATTACAAAGTAAAAGGCTTAGATATCAAAAGAAAAGAAAATTGCACAAACAATGATGGTAAGATATCGTGTAGTGAAACAATTCAAAAAAAGGAGACATTTCAAAAAAATAATAAGAATAAGAATAACAATAAAGAGCCACCCAAATACCCCATTCTTAAATGGTAGTGAATGTCATCTCTCTCGAACCCTAAAAAACCATCTTCTTCTCTCTTTCCTTCCTCACAGCTTCTCGTCCTCTCTTCCAAAATATTAATCACACCAAAAAAAATTTAATTTGGGAAGAAATAAATTAAACTGAATTTTTGAGAACAATCAAACCTCACTTGTGTCAATACATCATCAAACAACTACACATGTAAGGAAGCGCCCCATATTCGTGATCCTCTACGAGTGGTGGCTGGTGGTGTCATGCCGATCGTCGCCTCCGCGATGTGATTGGGACCCGCTAGCCTGAGACTCTGACAGCCCGATCACCGGCCGGTACGGGCTCAGCCCTGCCAGCATACTCAAATGTCCTTCGTTAATGTTACCGCCCGATACAACGCCACCGCCACTATTTATCGCCGACGAACCTAATTGTTGACCCGGCAATAGGGCCATAGGGGTAGGGAAGTTCATGAAATGCAACGCGCTCGACATGGTTCCTCTGTACAGCCCACTGTTGCTTACCGGCGGGAATGTCCATATAGGATCACCGCTCATGACCTGGTTGCTTGAATTCGTCACCATCCAAATGTTGGCCGGAATCTGAGCATGGCTCGCAGGGATCGCCCCCGCGCTCGACTGCAACAAATAACTCCCCATTTGATGCTGCGCTGACGACAAGTCCTGCTCCGCCGACCGCCGTTTTCTTCCCATCCCTTCTTCCGGTGACTCCGGTGACAAATCCAACGCTGTAGCAGCCAAAGGCGGACCCGCCCCGTCGCGAAGCTCTTGCTTGGCTTGCAACAGGTTCGTGGTCAGGTTACTGGATTGAAAATTTAGAAGCGTGGACGCTGCGGTATTATCGGAAGACAGACCAATTCCGGGGAACAAGCTCCGGCGCTGTTGGACAGGAAAATTGGGATTAAAGTAGGACGATCTCAGCTGTGACGGGACCGACATAGTGGATCCTGAGCTCCTCAACGATATGTTAAGCGAAGTGAAGTTAGCCGGGATGGTTCCCGTGCCGGTGGCGGCGATGACAGCAGGTTCTGCCTGCTGGAGCAGCCACTCGATGGTTTCACCGTCAGACTTGTGGCCGAGCTCGCGGGTGAGCTGGAAGACCCGAGCGGCACAGAGTGCAGGCATTCTAATGCGACGGCCACGTCCATCGACCTTGGTGTGGCGGTCCTTGGTGGAGGTTCTCTTGGGCGGGGGCTTCTTGCTGGAGGGTTCGGTGGAGGAGGGGACGATCTGGTTGGACAGATTCGGATTGGAGGAGTGAGGGTCAGCAGAGATGGCTAAGGAAGGATAAGGGGAAGAGGTGGAGCAAGAAGCAGCGTCCTGATCTTCTTTCTTCTCGAGGAGTTGAAATGGAAAAGTGGGACGGTAGTGGTGATGGTGGTGACGGTGGTGGAGATCATCACCTCCTTCCATTAAAGTAAGTGAAGCTGTTTAATTCGTGTGTTGGAGGGGAGAGAAGAGGGAGAAGAAGTGTGTGACAAGGGACGCTATATACTATACAGTTTAATCTCTGTGGTGGGTCTTTCTCATCAGTAGGGCTAGCTATATTTAGATTTTAGAGAAGAGACGAGCACGGGGTGAGAATGATAGGGGCGAGAGGGTTAATGAAATAATGAAAAAGCATGATTAATTTTGGTTGGGTGTGTGCAGAACGAGCAAAGATATCAAAAAGAAAAAAAAAATTGGGGAAGGCGAGGGCGAGGGGGAGGTTGGGGGCATTTTATTGTGGTTGGACAGCGTCTTTGGTTCAGAGTCCACGTGAGGTGCTCTTTTTTATCATTCAATCCATAAAGACAATGGAGGGGGAGGTGGGACCCGATCCCCAAGTCAAAAAAAAAAAAAATTTGGAGAGACCTGGAAAGTAGAAGGATTATGGGGGTGGGCCCCGCTCTCATTCAAGTCATCATTTCTCCTGTACCTTTGCCGGGGAGCCTCGGGATTCCACGGCTTGATTCTATTATAATAAAATTAAATTAAGTTAAACCCGGCCTTGCCCCTCACTCCAAACATCTTGGCCCCCAACTACTGCAACTATCAGTTTCAAGTCTCTCATGATCCATAATTAGCTTCCCGTACTCGTGTACATCCTTTTCACTTTCCAATCCCTTTTACTATAATAGGCATCTTTATGAGTTTATCAGTATCCCCTCCCTTATTTTTTTTACTGCACTTAACTATTAATTTTACTCGCCAACAGTGCTCCCAAGTCCCAAACCACCACCTGGGGCAAAAACGACAAGAGATGTATATATCTATTGCGAGTTCGGCCTGAGAGGAGGACCACCAGTAGCGAATGGCAATTGATGCAAATATACTTGGAACTAAAAGCCTTTCGGTTTTTTGAGTCAAACAGAAAAGTCTTTCGGTTTTTTGTTCATGAGGCTGACACTGTTGCTTCATTGAGTTCATTCTGATCAGCTCATGTCATGGGACTTCGTTTAGTCTTCGCATTTCTGATCATGGAATAGGTTGTGGCTAGTTTTCTTGCTACGATCTCCACCACGCCACACAATCCCAATATTACAATGACGCTTTATGATCCACTTAATAGATCCAGATGCGCGAGCTACCCAGTTATAGCCTTCCCCATCTCCCTTGTCCTTCTCCTCCTGGGTATGTCATTCTTCAGTGCTGTGTTATATTTAATTTTTGTTGTGTGTGACATTGAATCGAATTGGCCACGTACAGGCAGTAAAAAAATTGAACTTGTACAATGCGTTAAATAATTCATGGAGCAACTTCGGTTATTATCATCACATGCAATAATGCATCTTATATCTGTGAATGACGACAAAGAGAGTCATCGATACAAGTGGTACGTACATATCTACTGTGACATGCCAAAAGTAAACGAGTATCATATATAGATGATCAAAGTGCAGTATAATAACTTTTTTTTTCAAAAAAAAAAAAAGATAACAAGTGTGTGTGCGCCCTTTTTTTTTTTTTGCTGGCAACCGTGACTAATTTTTCTCGAGGCATTGATAACAAAAAATGGTGGCAAAAAAAAAAAACAACAACAAAAGATGAATCCCTATCAACTAGGTTCGTTAGCGAAAAACTTGGAGATAAGCCATTTAATAACTACTTGCTTAAAGAGACAAAACTCTTTTGCCAACTTAAATGAATCTTAAAACATAAACTTTAACCAAAATGGAAAAAAAGTAACTTTAGTTCCTGAATTTTTCTGGTGTGTCTCATTCTTGCACAGGGGTGATGCTAATCTTCTGAACATCATTCCGATTTTATTGGATGTCCTTGAATGGACCTAAATTTTTCTTCAATTATAGATTTACTATCTAAATTTTAACAGTACAATTTAATTCCTAAACTTTATTGGCTCAAAACAACTTGGGTCTTATAGTTTTCTTGACCACTATAACTTAGTTCCCATAATTTTTTAACTCAATAAATCAGAAAGATTGAGTTGTCATAGATTAAAGTTTAAGAACTAAATCAATAATTGAGAGTAAATATTAAGAACTACTACTATATTATCCCAAATATAATATATGTAATTGTAAAAGACTAAGAAAATCTATGCCAGATGAAACTTATAATATAGAAAAAATCTGTAAATAATAATAATTAAAAACTTAGAGAAAGCCAGTATATAATATATATATATATATATATATGTAACTGCGCATAGTACTGGGAAAAAAAATAAAAAGAATTCTTAAGTTGTGAGCGTTTCGAGGCATTATTATATTGATTAATTGATTGATTCCGAAGAAGTAATAGTATCAATGTATCATGATGGCGAGGCAGAATAAAAAGAAAGAAGTTATTCCAAAAGAAAAATAAATAAAAAGAAAGGAAATGGAGTGAAAATCAAATGTGTTTACTTTTTGGTTGTGAATTGAAATGGAAATTAGAAAAAGAAAATAAAATGTGGAGGACACAATGAAAAGTTGGCCACATGATTCCCCAGCTTTTGTACACCATATCTTGTCGCCAAATTACTTGTCAAGCCATGCAAAGACTAAACGTACCGACAAGTTGACTGAAAATTGGACGCTTTCTTTCATATTCTGATGATGACTCCTTCTTAGCTTAATTTGTGCTATCTAAATCAACCTTATTAACATTATTGCTATCTAAATCACTCGGGATATGTTTGTTACACGGCGCGATTAGTTTCGAAACTGTCTCCTCCTATATAATTTCTGCAAGTTAGTTACTACTCATATGTCATAATTTTAATTTTAATTTCAAAGCAAGTAGAAATATTTACGTTAGCATAAATGCCAAAGCCATGACGAGTAATTGATAATTTTTAGTGTGAATAGTATACTTCTCTCTCTCTTTCTCACTCCACCGCGCGTCCACACTCAAAAACTTTGTAATTTTTTACAATTATAATTGAAATTGAGATCAGCTCAATCAAGACAAAACTAACATGTATGTCACTTAAAAGTCAATTTCACCAGCCCTAAATGCAAAGTACAATACATCAAGTAAAAAATTGATAACAATGAAGTTGATCGTTATTCTTAAAATTTAGAATATACTTTCTAAATGTTAATATCATTATATGAATAATCCTTTTTCTCAAGTTCAAACTAAATTAATATTTCCTATAGATAAATATATTACATGTTCATAATATTAATATATACGTGTGTGTAGCTAGATTGATTATTACAATTTACAGTCCCTTTCATCCACTAACATATTTTTGGCGAAAAGTACCCTACTTGAGAACCAATAATTTTTTTTCAAAAAAAAAAAAAAGCACACTGAGATTTACGGTAATCAAAATTTACCATATATATGTATGTATGTATGTATGTATGTATGTATGAAGTGTTTTTGCTTTACCTTTTGTTTTTTTTTGTGGGGTAAAATTTACTTTTGGTATCTTAAAGGAGAGAATAGTCTTTGCCATCAATAAACAATACTTCCAGCTGGTCCCAAAATAAAAAAAAAAGATAAATTTATGTAATTCCTGAAAAATAAAACAAATCATGTTTTACTCTAAAATGTTTTTTTTTATCATGTTAATATTTGTTTTGCTCGAAAATGTTTTCTATCTTACATAAAATCATCACTAGAGGGAACTAAAAGGTAGGCACTAATAATTTGAAATTATATTTTACAAGTTGGATTGAATTCACAACCTCATACTTATAAAAGAATTTACAAGTTACTAGACTAGTCTACAAGGCCATTGGCGGAAAACTCCAATTTTGTCAATGATTAACTCTAACTTCCCTATGCTCAATTATTCTCGAGATTTATATATGATTCTAAAGTATTATTTATTTTACTACAAATGTAAAAAAAAAAAATTGAAAGCTAACTTTTCCCCAGACAAAAACAAATCATAAGATGGAAATTGCTTTAATTTAAAGTATTGACAATTGTTTTCTTTAAAATAAAATATATAAGGATGGAAAGAACAATTTAATAGTATTATAGTGATATTAAAAAAAAAACAGAGAGAGACATGCACTTACACACAAACCTATTACAACCTTCCGCATTGGGAAAGGAAAAACAGACCTTGGCGGATCATATAGTGATTATAATCCCAAGCAAGTGGAAGATTGTGGGCATTTTCAATTCATTGTAAATGCACAATTAAACACGAACATATATCCTCAGCGTGGATCATGCCTCAACACTCTACTCTTAATAAACTTATATATCTACGACCCCGATGAAATTGCGAATATTGTTAACAAATCTTTCGTACATGTATACCTACATTGTCCTCAAACACAAATTCTACCCAAAAAAAAAATCCAAAAATATAAAAAAAATATCAAACTCAAGAAGAACCAACTTTGCAGTGAGTTCAAGACAACTTACATACAGATTACATTGTATGCATGCTCAGACCGGTCACTTGAACACAACCATCCCATGTGTAAGAAATAATAATCATATATCTAAGAATCAAGGCAAAATGTAAAGCAAATTATAAGCAAGGCATTCAAATAAATTTGAACTAGATCGAGTTACGTGCTCAGAAGGGGGCGCGCGCGCGCGCGCGCACGTGTGGTGGTGTATATGCATGTATGTACGACCTGGGGGTGGACCACGGAGAAATTAACCATTGTTTCCATTTGTGAGACCACATGGCCTTGATAGCTTTTGTGTGTGTGTGTGTGTGTGTGTGGGGATGGGATCTCTAACAAGACAGGTTACTATCCACTAATCTAGGCACATTTACATCTCTCTGGTACTCCAACCTTCATTTCCTCTATAATTCCACAATCTGCTAGCTACCTTGCCTGCCTCCCTGTGTGTGTGTGTGTGTGTGTGAATCTCTCTTTCAGCCAATTCATTATAATACACGCGTTTTGCTCCCACCGCCTCTGCTCCATGCTAGTTGTCATCTATGACAATGATCTCTACCTAGGTTTTCATGTATTGTTTTCCTATTTTACAGCCTTTTTTTATTTTTATATATATATATATATATAATTCCAGACCCATGGCTAGCAAAAACTATACATGTAATATGAAGCATGCATCATCTTTTGAACACTCGCATTATATTTCGTCATCTTTGTGTGTGTGTGTGTGTGTTAGTTATTATATACGTACATAATATTATGGCATCATCTTTTGAACACTCGCATTATATTGCGTCATCTTTGTGTGTGTGTGTGTGTTATTAAATACGTACATAATATTATGGCGTCACTTAGCATAAAATATTTAGATTCTTTATAAAAGTCACAACAAATTATAGCTAATTCCCTTAAATATGAAATAAAAAGAAATGATTGGAGAAGAAGAGTTTAATTGAGGGTGTTAGTGTGTTGTGGGGAATGACGGAGGATTGGGACGATGAGTGGGCATGTGATGAAGGGCCACAGTGGGTAGACAGTTGGAATCTTTGCGAGCATGCAGACCCAGCAACCCCCTTCAACCTCCTTTGATTTTTCATCATTTCAATTATTAACATGTACTAATTCGGATAACTATAATTCTTCCAAACACCTTCTCTTTACATTCAACATCAACTTAAATTCGAGACCTGGCCTTATACTTAAGTAACCATAGATGTTTTTTCTTCTTCGAGATGTACTTCTATATATAAATAATAAGTTTGAGGATCATATTTACACTTTTAACATTTGAACCTCGTTAAAATGTGTGAAAAATATTTACAGAATAAAAACAATTTAAAAATGTATGAAATCTAATAAAATGGCTAGATACTGAAGGATCAAGAAAGCATTATCCAAAGCAATGCTATTCAAGTTTTTTAAACAACACAATTATTCATATTGATTTTTTTATTCATAATGACATTGATTGATGGTTTAGATTAATAAGTAACCGGGCTTCTGACTGAAGGTCTTTCCAACTTAAATTCGCAAAATCACCCTACAAATGATACAATGTTAAAGATAAAACGGTGCGAATGTCTTAAAATTTTGTCTCTAATCTAGCCATTTTTCATAAAAAAGCAAGACTCACATCGACTTCTTCCAAGCAAAAGAGATAGCACTGCTGCTAAAACATCTAGCCGTTTAGCCATTGACAAGTGTCATTGAGAAAGAAAGCATGCAATAAGCAGCGAGAAGTTTTAAGTTTTTTGGGATCCTTTGCATCCCAGTCAATAATATTATTATTTTACGCTGAATCTGAATTTATTCATTTGTTTTAGGGGCCAAAGAAGCAAAATGGTATTATTATTTTTTTATAGGATGGTTTCATTTTTTTTTGGTAATTTTTTAATTAACTATCAAAATTAGCATTTGTTAACAACAGAAATAATATTTTACCGTTTTGAAATATTGAAGGGAAACTTTGTTTCAAAAATAATTTTAAGATTTTAGATGCTCCTCACTTATAATTTAAAGATAAATCTGCATTTTAATTTTTTAATTTTATTTTTGCCTCATCCAATGCTTTTTTATGGGCCCGCTTTTCGGCTACCCCTTTTGGGCAATGGCCACATCAATGTACAGCTAGAACACTAAGCCCAAAAACAAAGAAAATTATATAGATGGACTGTAGATTCAAGATCAATTTTAACAAAATCCCTTACAATCATCATTTACAAGATTCCAAATATAAGAAAATTATAATGACAGTATCGAAATAAATTTATAGGGACATTTACCAACAAAAAAAAAAATAATATCCCTGAAAATCTCAATAATTCCTCATTAAAGTCAACTCATTTTCCATGCTCAATGGCCTCACGCCCAAACCAACTCTCAAACCACACATTTACTGATAATTACTCGACACAATTTCTCCCAAAAACCCCACTGTTCCTGGATTTGCATATTCATCAAATCGTTTTTAGTTGGTCCTCTACGTGGAAGATTACTACTAGGAACATGATAAAATGAGAAATTAACAATGCCTTTTTTCTGAAACTCAGAAAATAGTGGCAAGTATTGGAGAATAGAAGTTTCCACATTTAGTCATTAGAACATAGAATAGGAATATATAAAATTTGTAATGTATTTAACCAAGTAGCTTAAGCTATTTTAGTGAGGCAGACAATTCTCAAGTACGCTATAGATAATTTGACAGCAAGAAGCTCATTAAACACAGGTATACAAAGATGGTTCTGTTACTTACATAGACAGAATGCAGGGAAGCAAAACTAGTGAGTAATTGCATAATGAGAGATGTTGATGGCATCCTGAGGACAAGGGGGTGGATGAGTCTTGTTTCTGACGCGAAGCTGCTGGTAGTCCTTATACACAAACCCTCTGTATTTTGGTGCCTCTCCCGCCTCTTTTGTGAACTGTGCCAGTGGCTCCACCCACTTGTCTCCGTGCAAGTTGTAAAAGAACACTAACGAATACCGGCTTTTCCCTTTTGTTCTCACCACTCTGTGCGTCCCGCTCTTGAATTTCTCGTTGCTTAGCACCTTCCATGTTTCAACACAATCAAACCCAATCTTCTAATCATCACAAAAAAAGGTCTAAGCTTTCCAAGAGTACTCCCTTTGGTTGTTTGAAATAATATGAATGGAATAGAGTGATAGGAACTAAAATGATCGCGAATGGCAATAAAAGTATTCGAGAGGTGGGAATAATAATTGATATGTACAAGATTCTGATCACTATGGGAGGGATTATTTCCATGATTATAGTCACACTAGCATTATCTATATAGTTGGTGAACCAACTTTCAGTTAACAATATACTCAAAAGCTTAATCGTTGATAAAGTAAATATCATGCAATTCATGTAGCTATGTCATCCAGTGTGATAAAGCTTGTTATTGCTGTTGTACCTGTTTATAACTGTTTCTAGAAATCCCATGGAGCAGGTGCTTTTTTCTCCTAAACCCAGCATACATACAGTTTTAGTGCATAAAGAATGTCCAAATCTGAACAGATAAAGAAAAGACGGGGGAAAAAAAAAAGAAAAAGAGAAAGAGAAGAAAGAGAATAATTAAATGAAGACCTGGATAACATCGGCAATATTGAAGACGATGGTGCCTGGTGTAGGAACAACAGGAATCCAGGCACCATCGTGACGAACTTGGAGGCCTCCCACTTGGTCTGGAATCACGAAGCTAAAGCAATTCCCATCTTCATGTTCAGTGATTCCATTATCTTCACTTTCAGAAGCTGGGAAGTAACGCAGGGCAACCATGAAATCCCAGCTCCTGTCATCATTAAATTCTTTGAGGACATCTGGAGGCATCCCCAGACACTCATTTATTATGCCCTCCAAAAGCATACCCACCTTCTTCAACTCCTCAAATACTTCTTCCATTGCTTCCCTGCAAGCAAGCAACTAGAGTTACTTAAAAAGCTGTGTCCATTCACCATGGATTAAGAACTTGAAGTTACCTGAAGCGAGGAGGGTTTTGAGGGTAGACGTTGAAATCGGATCCAGGAGGAAAAACCAACAAGTACTCGTTCTTGTCTGGGGAGTGGGAAGGTTGCCGACTGTAGCCGGCGGGAAGTGGACCGTCGAAGCGAGGGCTGCTCTTTTGCTTTTCTTCATCGGAAGAATTAAAAAACGTCCTCGATAGATCCAGGCATCGCTCCATTAACTCCAAGGACACCTCGTGGTTCATGATCTGAAAGAAACCGTACTCACAACAAGCTTCCGTTATCTGTCTTATGGCTTTCGATTTGCCATCTTCATCGCCTTGTTTCAGGAAAGCTGAGATGTCGATGGTGGGAACAGCCATTCCTTTATTCCTTGATAACCGCAGCTTTGGGAAATCAATGTCTTGCAAATAAAACAAAGCTTAGACAGTTTTGTGCTTAATCATCTAATCTTTCACCGACATCATAATTTTAGCATTTCAAAGTTGGAATATATTTTGGCCCAAAAAAAAAAAAGTCGGAATATATCATTTTCCTTCTTCCCAGGCGACCGTCTCATACGAATGTGATTTCTCAGCAGGCGGTGCTAGAGTGATCCGCGAGGGCGCTTTGCATTGATAGTAAATTCATGACAAATCACGACAGGCAAATTCCTTCTTTGTGAGAAAGCATGGCTTTTACTCTTCCCCATTTATGTGAGATCAACCGACACAACAAAGAAACGTCGACCCCACCAATTTGTTTGAATGTGGCAGATGATGATGACCTGGTCGTATTGTACTTGAACACTGTTTTACACAATATTTAACCCTCACAATTTCATCATATTTTGTTTTTAATTCCTGTAGTATGTTTTCAATATTCAATTTTCATAATTTCAAAAAGATTAAATAATTTTTATTTTTTAAGCCCCTACAATTTTTATTTTTTTAATGATTTTCATTTCTATAAAAACTGAAAACACTAAAAAAATTATAAATAGTAGAAACGAAATATGATAAAATTATCATGACTAAATTGTTTCCTTTTTTTTTTTTAACTAAAGTAACACCACCCCACAAAACAATGGTCGTTCACCCTCCTCCTCTTCCCATTTAAAAAGAGGGAGGTTGATCAAATATTACAAAGTTTGAACATTTTCTTCCCATTTAGCGAATGTTCAGCTATATTACTTCGATGTATAGCCTCATTGCATCGGACAGAAGAGACGCGTTAACAGCAGCTCAAACTACTCTAATAAATTAGCAAGAGATCAAACATTCAAGATGGAATTAAATCAATCAGAACAAATGAACTATTTCTTTTCCCTTCTCTCTCTCTTCAAATGTATTACATTCATTAGCTTTCATGAATGCATGCAAATGAACTCAACTGATGATATAGGTAAATCCAAACGTTTAAAAGCACACGGAAGTTTGAGGGGGGAGAAAAAAAAAGTGATCACATTAAAATAGCTTTCGATACTAGAATCTTGCATACAAAGAGAAGCCAAACAGCTATTATACCCTAATTAATATTATAGTTAGCTCCAAATAGACAAGGGGAAAAAAGCTAATGTAACGTTAAAAGCTGGAGAAGTGCATCAGGGGATGAAACCAGCATGGCAGAAACAACCTCAAGATAATAAAATAAATAGAATAGGATCACAACCACCGACCAGCCTTCGTACACCTGCTGGCATTAGTTAACACCCAGAAAGTAGAATGGGTGGCCTGGTCACCATCCCCTAAAGCCCACTTTACATACTCCTATAACCACAAAAAAAGAAGGGAAAAGCAGCCCCACCATGAGATATTCTCTCACTTGCCATCATCTTCGTCACCCTCATCATCTTCCTCCTGGTCTTCATCATCGTCCTCAGAGTCATCTTCGTCCTTTCCCTGCCAATGAGGGGGCAAAAAATTGATGATGCATGCTAATATTGGCATCTACTATATCTAAAGTTCTGCCATCATTCACTTCAAATGCAAAGCATGCCAGACATGGAGATGGATCTATCGAGAAAAATATAATGGCGGATGTTTAGTGCACTAAAGGGGGTTGCATGCTCCCATTGAAGAAGTTTGCAATGTCGGTATTTTTCCTAATATGAGCATCAGTGTGATAGTCAGTCTGTCACAGTGCTCTACAGAGGCTTCAAAGCAACAGCAATCACTCGGATTCATCCCACTGACGAAAAAACTTTCTAGTCAACTTATCAAAACAACCTCGACAGGTAAATAGTGTGGCTCCTTGAGGACTGGGGGTTGGGGGAAATAAAGTGGAAAGAGGGAAATATTAGAAGTGGAAATAGGGTAATCCTACACAAGGCCATGTTTTCCGAGCTCTGCAGGAACCTTCTAGCCAATAGATTAAAAATGAACCAGTAGAAAACAACCGATTAACTTATAAAATAGAGGCTAATTTCACAGTTAAAGATTGCTTGAAATAACAAGCAACCTGCGCAGCTAATTTATTTTCAAACAGACAATATCTAATGCAAATCCCATAACTTTAGAATATGCTACTTTGTGACAAGTATTGTGCCTTTCTTTTTTTGGGGGGAGGGGGGAGGGGGATTGCAGTTCACTGATTGAACCAAAATCATGTATAGTCAAAAATAGCAATTATTTCTGTAGATTATCCCCAACCTTAATTTTCTTTATTTATCAAACATCTATCTTTGGTAAATACTATGGCTTGAGTCCATGAATATGATTCTGAATTTCAGCTTACATTGTATCCTCACAACCTTAAGCTCCAAATCTCTCTATGATCAACTTTTATATATTCGAAGACTGAAATAAAATTCCAAGTTTCAAACACACTAGACTATTCAAGTACAGATAGCATTGCTACAAGGCTCTCCTAAATGCTTGATGAGGACTCGGGCTATCAATGACTTTCTCCTCCTTTAATAAAGTTTTGACTATACCATCCACAAACAACATTACTATAAGACCTATATCCAACAATGAACCCAGTGATTACATTGCTCCAATAAAACATAAAACTTTTAAATTAACATCAACATTAAGAATACTTTTGGATCATCTAAGCTATTGTGACAAAAATAACACTTCAATTACCTCATCATCGCCATCTTCCTCATCAATATCCTCTTCATCAGGCTCCTCCTGCTCCATTAAAGTATCAAATACAATAAAAAAATGAGAAAACAGATATTCAGAGAGAGAGAGAGAGAGAGAGAGCAAATATGAAAGAATTCTTAAGCGTCGCTTAAAAGTACAATTGACATTAACAGGAGGAAAATATACAAAATTTAAAAGTAAACTCACATTATTAAAATAAGTTAGAGGATTGGGCCACAGATCATCCTTGATTAATTCTGCTATCTGCAATTTAGAATAAAACATAACATCAGGAACAATGAGGTAGAAAAGGAAACAAGCTGAAGGAAATATCTGTAACAGAGATACAGGATATCCATAGCAGGGATGTTCAACTCTAGAAATAATAATAGAAACGGGAAAATTTTACCTCATCATGCATGTCATCCATATCATCTTTTTGCTCAACATCACTGAACCAGCTAAAGAAACTGCACTCAAAAATTTGCAGAGTGAGGTGCATCAAAGAAATGCTAACTATATGTTGCATCAATTGAAGATGGAAAAAACTCTTCAGCTGTCTCATTCCTTTTTTATCGGTCAACTTCAGCTGTCTCAAATTCACATATCAGGTATGAGCAAAGTTCTATCTCTTACCTTGTTCTTTGGCACATCTTTTACGCCTCTTGCTTGTTACTGACTACAAGAGAAGATATAGAACTTTATCATATTCACATATCAAGGTATGTGCAAAGTTCTGTATCTTCCCTTGTAGTCAAAAACAAGCAAGAGGTGTAAAAGAAAGTGCCAACGAACACAAAAACAAGTAATAAAAGATCAAGTATTGGTAATTGGTCAGTAAAATAAAGGAAACATTGATTTCCTCTTTTTTTTTGTCTTTTTAATCAGATCAGGGTATAAAGAAACAATATTCAGAAAGAAAATAAATGACCCAAACCTATCATCAGTTGGAGCCCGCTTGTTCCCTTTCTTCTCATGGACTCCATTGGGTATGCCCTTAAATTTCCCCCCAAAAAATGTACCACGTTAAAACAAACACCACAAATAGCTCAGAAGCTACACAGGAAGAAAACAAAAGAAGCCTCACCTTGCCCTCTTTCCATTTTATAGGCGTAGCAGTGATCTTTGTTGTTCCTTCTTCAAGGAAGGTATAAGTCTTTGTAAGTTTTGTATCCTCAAAATATGGATTGGGATTGAAATTCTGAAAAAGAAATATTAAAAAACAGTTTACTATTCAATGAAATATACAATTTAGGGGCATTCAAGCATGCGATAAGTTTACACAGTCAACAAGTGATCTGCCATTAGTTTATAGCAATGAAACATCGACATAATGGAAGGAGAGAGCAAGAGAGAAATGCAACTTACAAAGGTAATTGAATAGCCCGATTTGACATCTTTAAAATCTTCAACCTCCAAAGAACTCAAATACTTAAAAATCTACTAAATAAGAATTCAATAAGTCACTAGACAAAGGCCCGTAATCAAACAAACAGAAATATGAGCACTTCCTCCAACGAACCTCACATAAACAAAAGAGACATTTACAAAAGTAACAAAACGATGCATGAAAGTGAGAGTATATAGTGATTTGCAAGATTCAAATTTTAGTGGTGTTCAAACCTTTTGATCTTCTTCATTCAGAACCTCACCAAGAGCAGGATGACTCAGAAACTGAAAATAGGAGCATGGTTTAGCAAAAAATTCCTAAATTAAAAGCACCAAAAAACTTCATTGCCAGAGTCAATTCATAGACGAAGAAATCAATACTGACAGCTGTTGTCCAGAAGTCAGGAATAGTTTTGATAATCTCATTCCGCTTCTCATAGACAGGCTTCCTTATCTCATTGTACTTCTGCTCTATTTCGAGAACTTTATCACTTGCCTCCTCATTAATCTACAATGTCCGTCAAAAGGGGAAAAATGAATATTCATTGCAGACTAGACGAGGTCAATATAACTCACAAGCCGTGGTACAATAGAACAAACCACAGCCGGACCTTGATGCTAGTGCATTCTTAAACATGAATTACTTTTACGTTTTTTAAATTCCGAGACCCCCCAAAAAAGAAGCAAATAACCAACCGCAAAGATATAATACCATCAATATTTCATTGTTCAAGTTAACATTCAGAAATAGCCATAGGATCTGACATGAAAGTTCGGAACTTTAATTTCGCAATGAACATACAAGGAGACCAATTATGACACACGAGCATCTGTTATTGGCTATGATACCTTTTCAAGCTCGTCCTGGGTCTCCTGCAGCTTCTCGATAGATAGGACAAGCTCTCCGTCAATTTCCTCTAGGTTCTCGCCCTTCTCGGCAACTTTCAACCTCTTGGTCTTGTCGGCCACCATCTTCGCCCTCCTCCTATTTTGCTCTCCTTTAGAGTAAAAAGAGGCAGTCACTGACTCCTCTAATTGTCTAAAACCCTAGCACTGTATCCTTCAAAATACAAGGGAAGAGCAGGGAAATGAGAGTCCGGGAACGAAGGCGTTAGGGTTTTGGGGTTTATATTTCGTCAGAAAGTGCGGCTTCATACTGTGGATCAACCACCGCTTGACAACTGTCGTTACGGGGTACATTCGTCATTGCACGACGATGAATCAAAGGAAAATAGATTTTTTTAAAATAATATTTAAGGATATTCAAAAAAAATTAATTACATTTAAAAAAAAAACAGCTGAAATTGGGCCTAATACAAAGAGTTAATATTTAACAACATGAATAATTAAGATTTAATAATTAATTTTTTAAATTAATTTTCAGCATTCATATGTAAGCTTTTTTATATTTAACTCTTACCTTTTCATGATTTTTTTTGGCCAAATTACCTTTTCATAATTTACTTTTAATATTTTCAATACTATTTTTTCAATTTTTTAATACTTAGATCTTTTTTCATATGCTAGATATCTAATGTGTTTTTATGGGCTATTTATTTCATTTAATTATGCTAGTGTAATAATATAAAATTGTTTACAAACTTGATATTCAATAATTAAATGGAGAATTAAGAATATTTGAATGCCCTAATGATTTAGATTTATTTTTAGTTTACAAAATGAATCATTTAAATTATGAGTCATTGTTCCATCGCTCTAAATCATAAAAGCATTTGGCAGAATGTGTTGAGATTTGGAAAAACTCAACTTTTTATGTTTTAATAAAGGTCATTGGCGAATGCAATCCTAACCCCAATTTCATCTATAAGAGATTACCCAATACCATTATCCCTTAGTATTAGAAAAACAATTGTGAGATTATGTTTTAAGCCAAAAATGCCCTTCACCCCATCCTTATGTGTGTTTATCTCCTTCGTCCACTATCGGTAACATCTTTGTCGACAATACTACCTTCCACCCACAGCAACATCCTTCATCCTTATCGATAGTGCTATTCATCTCCTAGAGGAATCATGAAGGCAAAGTTTGAGGCTATTTACCTTTGGTTTTCTTTGTCTTCACTGTTCGTAATTCTTTAATGGATCTAGAGGCTCATTGAGATGGCAAACTAACCTATTGAAGATAAAGTTGGACTACTAAATATAGCTAGGTTGATGGTGAATCCTTCAATCAATTTGTTTTGTTTTTTCTTTCAATCTATAATTTTTTTGGCAAGATCGATTTGGTTTTGATACAAATTGAGGTTGACGACAAACCATATGGTTTTGTTTGTAAGCTTGTCCTCCATCTCATTCATGTCAATTTGGTTGACTTTCATAAAGGAGAGGACTCAATTGGCTAGTATGATTTTTTGAGCTATTGGGTTGCACGAAGGAGGGAGCACGAGGGGAGAAAAATAAGGATAACTATGTCTTTTACCATCTTTCTTTAATTTGAGTAGTATCATCACCTCTTAAACATAATTTTTAAACTTATTCCCACTCTCATTTTTATGTGCGATCCCATTCCCAATTTTTTTAAAATCCAATGCCTCATACCAAACAAAATCTAAACAATAGACCTTTATAACTAGACGTCACTTAAAGTCTATCAAGTTGGTTTGACTAATAATATATGTATAATATTTAATAATTTATGTTTATATTATATTTAAAAAATGCATTGAACATTATTATAATGTAATATAGTTTAATATAATATAATTTATAGTATTATTTTGTTTTAATTTTAAAATAAACATACAATGATATAATATTACAATTCTTCATTATTAACATGTAAGTTTTAAATGGATTTAAAGCTTATTTAAAGCAGAAGGTTATCTATTTTTAACATATTTTATCCACAAGTTAGAGATGAATGTGAGAGAATGAGAGCTTTTAGAGCCAATGCCAGAAGAGAGAGATGCACTTATGTGGAGTAAGAAAAAGGTTCAAGCAGGGAAGGGATGTTTTTCCAATGATCAAAGTCTTGTTCCAAGGGTAGAACCTTAGATGAGGGATAAAGGAGAAAAGGTCAAGGGTGAGAAGGGAGTAGGTGCTAAGAATGGAGGTGATACAGCTAAAACCTGGAAGTCATACAAATAAGCCTTTATGAAAGGGAAGGATGAGATGAAAGAGGAAGAGGACTAGTACAGTGATGATAAGTAGAAGTCAAGAATTTTGGTGAAGATAATGCTAAGGGGACTAATGTTATCATCCCTCCATTATAAAAGGAGAGACTGGCCAAGAAATGAAAGAATACACTGATTGTTATGCTTTTAGGTTGTATGGTTAGATCTAAATATATGGAAAGCAAGCTTCAGCGAATGTGGGGATGGCTTGGTAAAGTTGCTATGATCAACATGGGCTTAGGATTTTTTGTGGTGCAATTTGAAAGAAAAGAGGACTACAATTTAGCTTTAAGAGGTGGGCTATGGTTATTGTTTGATCATTATTTGGCAGCATAACAATGGAAGGAAGATTTTGAACCAAATGAAGAAAAAATCACCAAAATTATAGCTTGGATTCGCATATCTCAACTCCCACTAGATTATTATGATAGAGGCATATTATACGTACCATGTTCTCAAGTTGGCCAAGTCCTGAAAGTTGATATGACCACAATAAAAAGGAAAAAAGGTTGATTGGCTATATTTGTGTAAAGTTAGATCTGACTGCCTCTCTGACTCCTATTATTCTTATTAATGGGAAAGAGAAAAGAATTCAATATAAGAGTATTCACTTGATTTGTCTTAACTGTGGTTAGGGGTGTTCACGGGACGGGACGGGACCGGGACACCCCTATCCCGTGGCCCGTCCCGAAAAATGATCGGGACTAAAAATTTGTCTCGTGTCCTGTCCCGTCCCGGAAGCTGTCCCGTCCCAAAAAGAGTCGGGACGGGACTGGGACGGGATCGGGATGTCTCAAATCAACGAGATTATTACAATCTTTCAACTTATTACTTGACAAGAAAAAGCATCCAGATCTTTTTGTTCACAACTCAACCATATAAATTAAATTTTTTTTGTAACTCAACACCCAGATCTTTTTCTTTGAAAATATTTTTCAACAATGTCCTAATGTTATAGGAGATTTGGAGAGAAAAAAATTACCTCATATTACTTCCATTTGAACAGCACTTGAATTCTTCCCAAATTCTCAGTCACTTCAAATTCCTTCCCTGCAAAATCATATTGAAATAAAAAATTCAGTCTTGCTGTTCACATGAAGTATTCCTATAATTAATTTATCATTAATTGCAGAATTGAAATTACTGTAAAAACACATTAAAGTTTTGAGAAAGAACCTATTTTTAGCATGCCCCTGTAATTTATAAGTGTTTCACTGTACTCTTTAGGAAGCTCTTTCACATCATAACCCTAATACTTAAAAATTGCTATGGCAAAGAAAGAAACAAATTAGAGGACAAATTAGAAAACACAAATTGACTGCATGCTTTGCAAGCAAAGCTATACTATATCAACTATCAAGGTACTAAACCTGCTACTTTTTCTCGACCTTCGTCATGTAATGTAGTCTCAACTAATTATGCCATCATCTTAAATATCAAAATTTTGGAAATATCAAGATTTTGGAAATACCAAGATTTTGGAAATATCAAGATTTCCTACTAAAGGACAAAAAAGCAGTAATAGAAAATCAAATTAAATCAAGTCTACGAAGAACATTTCAACAGGCAGCAGCAACATTCAAAAGACAAATAACAACAATAATTCAACAAATACAGCTTAACAAAGACAAGTAACTTCTAAGTAATAAGTGCAACAACAAGTCAAGAATCAACAATTTAAGCCCTAAGTACAACTTCAACTTCAACTTTAACTCATTGCTCTTCCTCTTCAACTGAGATATTTGCAGCTAATGATTCTTCTGAAAATAAAACAATAAACACAATATAAACAAAAATGATTAAATATATATAAACAAAAAGTTAAATCATATTAAAAGAAATAATCAAATATAAAAATGATATTACCTTCCACAGCTTGCTCTGTATTGTTAAAATTATCAATATCAACACCTTTCAGTTTTGCAGTTGATGGAGATAGCCAGTTTTGGGCACAAATTAGTGCCTCAACCATCTTTGGAGATAGGGAGCTCCTAAAATCATTAATTACACGACCTCCTGTGCTAAATGCAGATTCTGAAGACACAGTGGAAACAGGCATGGCCAATACATCACGTGCAATCAATGAAAGGACTTTATATTTAGCCGAATTCAATTTCCACCATGTTAAAATGTCAAAATTTAGATCAAGTGCTTCAGCTAACTCATCGTGCAAATACTTGTCCACCTCTGCATACTTATCTGCTTGAACCTCAATCTCTTTTTGGGCAAGAAACCTTTGAAATGAAGCCCTAAACATAGAACTTGAGAAAGTTAAAGGCCTACGATCTGATCTAAGTGATTGAGTCAAACTACTTTCACTTGCTCCTTGTGCCTGACTTTGACTCTGACTTTGAGTCTGAGATGTGTCAACCCCACTTGAATAATGATCATATAAATGATACAAGATATCTGAGACCTTTTTTGTCATAGCTTCACGTTGTGTAGTCTCAGGAAACATATCCTCAAAAGCAAACTGCAAATATTTCATTTTATACCTTAGGTCAAGTACCACTGCTACCACAAGCAAAAGATTAAGTTTCTTTAAGTTCTCCCAATACTTATTATACTTGGTCAATATGCTCTTAGCCATATCACAAAGCAAGGAATCATGATTGTTTGCATTTTCATATAAAATTGCAAAGACATCAACTATCTGTTGAAAGCAAACATTTGAGGTCACATAAAGTGATCCTGAAAATTGCAAAGTAATATCATAGAACACCTTCAAAAAGATCACAAAATCTTTTGCATCCTTCCAATCATTTTCATTAGGGGGACCAATCAAATTTTTATCTAAGAAGAAGTTTCTGTAATCATTATCTTGCTGCTCCATCCTCTCAAAAACGCTGCAAAATTTAATAGCACTCTCTAACATGATGTAAGTTGAATTCCATCTAGTTGGACAATCCATGCTTAGTAGCCTCTTTGAATCAATTTTCATTTTTTCCACAAGCTCCTTGAATTTATGAAACCTTGATGGAGAAGATCTCACATATTTAATGGCATTTCGAATGCCTTCAATACACTTGTGCATATCCTTCACACCATCAGAAACAATCAAATTTAAGATATGTGCACAACAATGCAAGTGCAAGAACTCCCCATCACAAACTAAACCATTCCAATGCCTCAAGACCCCCTTTAAAGATGCCAAAGCAGTGTCATTAGAAGAAGCATTATCAACTGTGATTGTAAACACCTTATCAATGCTCCAAAACAGCAAGCATTTCTCAATTTCTTGAGTAATTGTTTCTCCCTTATGATTTTCAACTACACAAAAATTCAAGATTCGCTTTTGATATGTCCAATGCTCATCAACCCAGTGAGCAGTTAAGCACATATAATTGGCATTTTGATTGGAAGTCTAAGTATCAGTAGTGAGTGAAACACGGATTTGAGATTTTTTAAAATACCTTTTCAACTTTCTAGCTTCTTCAAGGTACAACTTGTAGCAATCCCTAGTAAATGTCGCTCTTGAAGGGACTTAAAAGCGAGGTTCTAACCTTCTCATCATCTTTTTAAAACCATCACCTTCCACAACATTAAAAGGCATCTCATCCAATATCACAAATATCGCAATGGCTTGTTTGCAATCAAGTTGATTAAATAGATGATGACTCAAAGTTTTAGATGACCCTAATTAAGAGCCCGATAGCAAAGATTGTGCCAACTTATTTGCTTTGTTTGGATTTCTGAGACATCTTTTTACATGTTTTCTCATTTCATTTGTACCATGTCTTGTAGAGTCACAACCAATTGTTGTTGGGCAATACTTGCACTTAGCACGGGGTTCTCCATTAGTTTTGTTCAATGGCAACCTTTCAAAATGTACCCAAATAGCTGATTTATGTCTCTTTCTTCCACTGTCTCCTTCATTCTTTGACTCATTTCCCTTATTTTCCTCTTCAGTATCAGGTGATAAAGCATTTTCAGGATCTCCTTCTATTGTTTCAACATTTTCTTGAAGGGTGGGTGTAGTGGCCATTTTTCTTTGCAATGTAGATTTAGCCAATAGCAGCAGCAACAACAACCCTTAACTGATTAAAACCTCATATTAAATATTCAAATAGATTTGAAAGAGACCAGTCTGACATAGTAAGCACGATAAATCATCAAAACTTTCAACAAATTGGTAGAGAGATATAATCCATTAAATCTCACAGCAAACAAAAAAAAGTAAGCAATTAATATATTGTTGTAGCACTATTTTCAGCAAGCATAACAAAAGCAGAATTAAAATATCACCTTCCTGGAAAGAAGATGGAATTAAATGATATTAACACATTTCCTAACCAATATTTATTTTTCTTAAAAACAAGAATAAATAGAATGGGCATATAAACATATCACCGAGATAATAGATTTACCTCTTTGCAATTTAGAACAATTGTCTTGTGAAAGTTTGCTATAGTATTATTTATAAATTATAAATACTATAGTATAGAACTCTAACTTTTATGATTTAGAAATTAGAATGTATGGAAGGAGTGAGATTTATTAGTTAGATAGATTCCAAAACTCGTGTAGGTTCTTTTTGGTTGGTGTGTTTACTGTGAAGTAGTGCAGGTCCATTATAAGCAACAGTATATTTGTTTTGGTAGAACTTAGCAAGAGTACAGTTTGGATCCATTTCTTTACAAATTGAGAAATGAAGGGTGGGCACATGGGTGAGTCGGCCCACATGAAACTGAGGATTTGCCAAATCTAAATGACCATGTGCGCCAAACGGTGTGTGCCCCATGAAACAACTTTGATTCAACCATCCATAAGCAAACCTCAAGGGATTAAATTAAAATCACTCATCATTCTGTGATGCTTTAATATTAAATTATATTTAATTAAAGCTTAACTTTTTGTGATTGGGTAACAATGTATCTAAAAGGCCTTTCTCAACTAAAATGCACCAACATGAAATCTTTTCCTAATCGAGTAACAATATTGAACCGTTCTTTAAACATGATTGTAAATGCATATCTAAATAATTAAAAGGATTTTTTTTAATATGCCTATTTACTTAGATTAAATTTAAGCATTGTCAAGCTTACCTAAGGGTAACTCTTTCACATATGTTTTGTATATTTATATTGATTCGAGTATGAAATCTCATATCCTTTTCATTGAGATTAACCTTTGTTAATTAAAAAAAATATTTTAAAAACTGAAAAGTCATACAAGTAACTATTTAAACCACTAAGAGGTGTCATTTTCATACTGCTCAAACATATCAATCTCAAGTTCTCAACCATAAAGGAAGCTCAATTTCCTTTACCCTCTTTAAACATCCAATTGCACAATAGAAGTAAAATTTCCTCCCCTCACCCACGACATTACGGTGTTCCAAGAACAATAAAGAACAAATGAGTCTCACAATTAGATGCAATGCCATATCTAGAAGAGAATTACGAATCCTCACCTCTAACCAATCATGATGAAGCAAGTAGAAAAATTTAGAACTCCCTCAAATAGAACAGCGTCGAAGAGCAGGGGAAGGAGACAATGGCGAAGTATAGCATTAAAGGAATGAGTTGGGTGTTTGATGGAGACTCCTACGTCTTTAAAAGACGGTGACTCATTTCATGGGAGGAAGACATTACCGGCGCACCCTTGTAGCTGCTCAAACGGAGGAGAAAGATGAAACTTCAACAATATAAGGCAGGGGAGGACCAAAACCATGAACTTGACGGTGCAACCGACAGAAATATGAGGCAACGCTGGGAGCCTGGGACAAAGATTTGGGTAGAGATCTGGGTTGAGGCAACAGATACCTTACACTACAGCTCGAGACGGAGGCATGGAGGTGGGGATAGAGGTATGGTCCAGGTCGCGAAGGCAGAGGCGTCAGCTCTAATCTTTGTGTGTTGAAACTCGAGTAGAAAGATAATGTAACTGAAGGACTGAAGGTTTGCTACTCTGCTTTGTCTCTGTGGCTGGGCGACTGATCTGCGGCGGAGGGATCTTTGGAGTTGGAGTTGGAGGCTTGGAGCTTTGGAATGGAAGGGAAAGATGGAAACCGAACTGAGCTTTGGAATGGCGGAGGCGGAGGGATCTGGATCTGGATTTGGAAAGTGGAAACTGGAAAGGGAAAAGGAACTTCAAAAATCAAAATGGTCTCTCTGCTGCTGTGTGCCCGTGCCACGTGTCTGTCTCAGAAAAGCTAAAAATAATATTAAAAATCAAATAATCAATTTAATTAAAATAAATAAATAATAGTTAAATTTAAAAATATATATATTTATATATACTGAATAAACGGGATGGGACGGGACGTCTCGATGGATGGCTCGTGTCCCGTCCCGTCCCGTCCCTATTTTGTCCCTATCCCAAAAAAGTCCCGTCCCAAATTTTTTCAGACTAGGACAGACCCGTCCCAATATGATCGGGACGAGCACGGGCCGGTACAGGTCAGTCGGGCCGGGTACATCTTGAACACTCCTAACTGTGGTAAGTATGACTATGACAACGATTGTTGTTCAAAGAAGGTACAAACGTCGGAGAAAGAAGAAATGCAGAAGAGTTCTTAAGTGAATGTAAATGTGACGAGTGCAATTATGGCTGTAAGTAGTGAATAATCAAATGAAGGAGGAAAGGATGGTGATGACAGAGGAGAGGTGATACCATCTGAGGTTAATTATGATGCTTGGATGACAGTTCAAAGGCGACGATGGCTTTGGCGAGGTGGTTGGTTGAAGGGTTAGGGGAATAACCTAAAGTGGGATATTAGGGAAAAATCACTAAAAAAGGGGCTTAAAATCACATTATTCAATTTTAAAGGATCAAGAGGAAGTATGGAGGAGGTTATTCCAAGAAAACAAGAGGGAAAAGCCCCGTTAGGAGATATTACTAATCTAAATAAAGGAAAAAAAGCCAGCTGTTTTAGTAATAAGAATGTGGGAATAAGTGTACCAAAACAAAAAATGGAGCAAAAGGGGAAGTATCAACATAATGGGCCTAGTACCAGTAACTTTGAGAATGGGCCAGCTTCAAAATCAAAGGCATCGAGTGGTATGAAAGAATTAAACAAGGCTAAGGAGAAGTTGGGCCTTCATAAATTAAGAAGTAGGGATAAGCAGGTGGCCCATAGAAGTATGGATTTGGACTAGGATGGAGTGATGGAGGATAAGTTAGGATATGAATCTAAAAAGTCAATGATGATAATCCTATGAATCTAGGTGCTAATAAACAAGTAGACTTTTTTGTACACTCTAATCCTTTATCTATGGGCTCGTTTGAGGAGGATATGGAGGAGCTTGTAGTTAATGCGGATTATGGCCTGTAGGTTGGTCTAAGCTATTTCTCTTTTCATATAATATTTTTTTATGGATTGTCAAATTCATAATTATAATATTCTTATCTGGAATGTAAGGAGAGTGGGAGGATGAGGTTTTTAGAATTTTCTCTTAGAATCATATCGTAGATATAAGGTTCAATATCTAGCCGTTTTGGAAACAAGACATGATAGTTCGAAAGCCAGAGTAATAGCTCATAAGATTGGCTTGTTGAAGTTTGATTGTGTGAAAGCTAACAGGTTTAATATTGGAATCTGGTCCTTCTAGGGGGAAGATGTTAAATTTTAAGTCAAGGAGAAGCATGATCAAGTGTTGCACGGTTGATTTGATGAGGGAACTAATGAAGAATGTGATTTTTCTATTGTTTATGGGCACCCTTATAATGCTTAATAGAGTATGTTATAGGAAAGCTTATGTTAGATTGAAAGGAATGGGGTGTAGAGATGGTGTATTGGAGGAGACTATAATGCTATACTTAGTGAAGAGGAACGTTTTTCCTTGTCTTCTTCACTACTGAGACCTGATAGGCATTTTAGAAATTGATTTACTGAAACTGGCTTGATAGATTTGGGGCTCTAGGGACCTTAATTTACTTGGAGTAATAGGAAGTCACGAAGTAGAATTGGTTGTATATGTGTTAATGCCTCGTGATTTGAGTACTTTCTTGAGGCTTCAGTAGTCCACCTGCCCAAAACTAAATTTGACCATTATCTTATTCTCTTGAAGTTAAGAAAAGAATGTGAACAACCTAGAAAGGAGTATTCCTTCTATTTCATTACACCATAGGTTACACATGATGGCTTCAATGATATGGTTAAAGGTTCCTGGTGCAGTTCGGATAGTTAGGAAGGAAATGTGAATTGATTTATTTCAAATGCTATGGATTGGAACAAGCATGTGTTTGGAAATGTAAACAAGGAAAAGGTTGATTTGCTTTTTAAGCTTGAAGATATTAATAGTAAAAGAAAGGGGAATATGAATTCAATAGCATTGGAGAATGAATGTCATGATACCTAGTACAAGTTGGAGGGGATTCTTGTTCAAGAGGAAATCATATGGCTATAACAATCAATATGTAATTAGTATTCTCTGAGAGATGAAAACACCATGTATTTTCATACTATGACTAATTGTTGTAAAATGAGGAAAATGATTGAAGCTCTTAAGAATGATAATGGTGAGTGGATTTACGATAGAGAAGTGTTAAAGAACATAGATACTGATTATTTGACTAGTCTTTATTTTGAAGAGGTTGGTGATTTTAATAAGATTATCTTTGAAAAGGGTTATCCCTTAATTCAACAAGATTATATTAAAATGCTGGGTAATGCAGTCAATTTACAGGAAGTGGAGAATGCTATTTTCTTTTATGGGGCTACTTAAAGCTTCGGGACCTAATGGTTTAAATCCTATCTTCTTCCAACACCAATAGGAGATTATTGGTGATTCTTTATTTGGCCTTGTGCAATAAATTTTTCATAATCCTAAGTTGGTGGGTTGCATTAATGACACTAATATTGATTCTTAAAAACAAGACTCTTGAAACTATGAAAGATTTCAGGCCTATCAGTCTTTGTAATGTTGTGTATAAAGTGGTGATTAAAATTTTGGCTACCAAGTTGAAGGGTATTATGCTTAAGATTGTTAGCCCTAATTAATGTAGTTTTATTCCAGGGAGGCAGAGCACAGATAATATCATTATGGCTTAAGAGATTATTCATTCATTTCTTAGAGGTAAGGGACAAAGAGGATTTATGGCCTTAAAAATTGACTTGGAGAAAGCATACAACAAGGTTAGTGTCACATCCTGAAAAATGGGAGTGACCAGCATGGGATGTGAACTATATCACACATCCCTTAAGCCTCAAATAAAAAAAATATTCTATTTTTCAAACATAGTTAGATTTATATTGTAATTTTGACATCCTTAATAATATTCATTATAATAAAAGCTTCAACATTTTTTTTTTTGCAAAATTTTGACAAAATCTCCCTTATAAATAGAGTCTTTCAAAATCTATATAGCAAAAAGTATTACAACATGTATTCAATAGTTCAAAGTTACGCTCCCCAGCAACAAATAGTCAACATAGTAAAATAAAATCAGGATTCTTTCTATAGTTAATGTGGATCCTCTAAAACATAATTGCAAAATAAATCACATAATCAAATATTTACATCAAAGAAAAAGCATTTAAAAAAATAAAAAAACAAAAACAAAAACAAACAAACATTCACCTAACATAGTTGTAGGCCCCTCAATGACAAGCAGGAGGTCTAACATCAGCTAATGAATTTAAGATCAAAATATTTTTCAGTGAATAGCATCCTTAAAAATAAACTTCAAAAGAGTAACATAACATAATAAACTCAAATAATTAAGTAAAATAATTGAAGAGATGATAAATCAATATAATAAAATCAATAAATCTTTAAGTTTAATCATAACCATAAAATGAGAGTGAATTAAAAATTTCTTTATTCTATCTTAAAGAAATCAAATTATTCATATGTAAATCAAAGTAATAAATTCATTAATTGAAATCATTGAAATTTCAAATACCAAATATTAAGTAAAAATTTAAAATTTTGAGGACTTAACAGAACAATTAACAAACGTGGACACATAGTCCATGAGGGTAAATAACTAAATGTGGCTTATGCCACGAAAATAAATATGGACACACAGTCCACGAAAATAAGTAACCAAATGCAGCCTGAGCTACGAAATAAACGTGGATACACAATCTACGAGGATAATGCTAACCAAACGACGCCAAAGACACGAAACAAACGTGAGTACAACACCCGCGAAATAACAAACGTGAGAACAGAGTTCACGAAAATCAAACTAGCTAATCATTGATCAAGATGCGCCAAGGGCTAACGGAGCTGCTGTTAGCAACTAATGTTCTATATAAAGTCTCCTTCAAATTCATTTTCAAACATGCGAGAAAATAATCACTTTTCAAAATATAAAATCCTCTTTTTAGTACCAAACTCGCATGAATCAATTCAAAATAATCAATCTTCTCAGTGTAAAAATTCATAACTAACATCCTATAAACTTTTTCACCAATTTTCATTATTATCTTTATTGAGTAAAGGAACATTAAAATTTGTAAAAATCATTTTCGTTAATCTTTTAAGTATATCTCTTAAGAAAAGTACTAACACAAATCATAATTTAATTAACAAGGTAATTAATATTCATCATAGTTGTCAATAAGAATAATATGCATAAAAAATGTAATAATTTCAATGAAAGACTTTTATTGACAAGTTGACTAGGATGCTATTCACTCACCTAAAGGGTTTTAAAATATAATTTGCTTCCAACTTAATCTTCTTGTAATGATACTTGGTCTTTCATCTCCTAGTGTCCAAATAATACTATAATCATTTTTTCTAAATACACTTTACAACCCAATATCTATAGTTCAATTTAATTCAACAAAGAAAGACAGATAAATTTTAACTCCAACAAATTTTTTTCCCTATTATATCCATTATTTAATAGAAATTCTAAAGACTAACATATTAATAGTAATATAGTTTATGAATTACCAATTATGAAACCCATTCCCAACATCTCCAATTTCAGACTCAACTTCCTTTATGAATTGTCTTTTATAAAAATTTAACTAACAATAATATAATCATCACAAGTATCTTGTCTTTATATGTTAAAATTTCTCTAACAAACATCTTACCAAGCTTTCTTCCCTTCCCATCTTATAATATTCAATAAGATTTTTATTACATTTTTTATGAGTTCAGTAAACTTCTTTTTAACACAACATAGTTGATTCCAACAATTCAGATTTTCCTAAACATCATCATTTATATCACAAAGCTTTTCCATATATCTTTGACCATAGCTAAATTATTAAATGGAAAGAAAATCCTCTCACAGACCTTTCAACAAACACCTGGTAGGTATCAATTTCTAGTTCATTCAATGGATCTTCCTAACCTCAATCACTGGCCCAATAATTTATCAGCATCAATAATCAGTCCAACTTCAACTAAAATTCAAAACCACTTCATCATTTCATTTTTTTCATTTCCTTTTTTTTGTTCTTTATATAAACAATTTCAGCTTAAATCAATTTCCCTTTCATACTCAAACATAGACAGTAGCACAAGGCAATAAAAAATTCTACAGCCTTAGTCATTATAGTGCACACACGCCTCATGGATTCAAATCTCCCAAACACTATAGCATTCCAAGAGTTAAAGGAAACATCGAAGCCCCATTGTCAGACTCATAAATTCCATAAAGTGGAAGAGAGAAAAATTTAAATCCTCACCACAGACCAATCACGATGGAGCAGGAAAAAAAATTCAAAGCTCCTTTTAATCAGTTCAGCAACAGTAAAGAAATAGAAGGGGAAGGAGTCGGTGAACCATAAAAACATACTAGAATAGGGAGAGACCTTTGACGAGTTACATGAAGAGGAAAAATAGAGGAAAGAAGTCGAAGCTCCCTCCATGACAACCACACAACACAATGCAGCATCTAAGGAAGGAGGAGGAGGCCTGCAATGTAGAAGGAAGAGGAAGAAGAAGACCCGACAACGACACAAGGGAGGAGAAAAATCCAAGAACTTGACAGAACTCCCTGCTATAGACGAATGGCTACTTGCAACCACACTGGCGATGGCTGAAGCCGGAGAAGGAAGGTAGGAGAAAAGAGGTGTGATTAGAGGTCTCTCTCTCTCTCTATCACTCGATTCTAGAAAAATTGACAATGGGTATGAAGGAGACTGAAGTGTGTGGACATTTATATATATATATATATATATTTCAGAGCTATTTGTTTTTTTTTCTAGCAATTTTTTTATTTTGCTGCACTAACAAAATAAAATATTTACTTTCTAAACCAATAAATAAAGACTAGGGAAGATTTTCATTAAGCTACTAGTTTAATTTATTATAACTACCCCAAAATTTATATAGACATAATCAAAATATATATATATATATATTATTTTTATTAATTAATTTTTTTATTAATTAATTAATTGATTTTATATTTTTATTATTTATTATTATTTTTTAGGGCTATTACAGTTAGATGGAGCTTTGTGATTTGGTGTTTTGAAGAGCTTAAAGTTCCCAACAATTTTGTTGATTTAATTGCTAATTGTCTCTCTACTGTTGCAATGCAAGTACTTTGAAATGGTGAGAAGGGAGCTAATTTTTTTCCATCTAGAGGCTTGAGGCAAGGAGACCCAATTTCTCCTTACTTATTTGTTTTAGTCATGGAGAAGCTGGGGCATTTGATACAAAGGGAAGTAGAGAATGAAAATATGATGCCGTTCATATTAAAAAGAAAAAGGGTTGTTATATCCCACTTATTTCTTTACTGATGATTTATTACTCTTTGTTGAAGCTAGCATGGATCAGGCTAGGTTGATCAAGGCATGTTTTGATAATTTTTGTATTATTTCAAGAGAGAAGGTGGATAGTGCTAAATCAAGAATATTCTTCTCTAAGAATGTAAGACATACCCAAGCTAATGAGATTAGCAATTTCTTGGAATTCACTCCTACTTCTAACCTTGGGAAGTGTTTAAGAGTTCTTTTGCATCATAAGAGACTCTCAAAGAGCACCTGACAGCATGTATTAGACAAGATGGATAGTCATCTATCATCTTGGAAAGCTAATTCCCTATCATTGGCAGCTAGACACATGCTTGTTTCTGCTATGATTGCTGCTATTCCAACGTACACTATGCAATCTACTTCTTTGTCAGTTCACACTTGTAATGAGATTGATAAGAAGTGTTGTAGATTTCTTTAGGAAGGTACCAGCTTGAGATAAAAGTTACACTTGGTGGCATGGGATGGTGTTTGCCATAGAAAAGAATAAGGCGGTTTGGGGTTAAGGAAAGCACATTATCATAATAAAGCTTTTATGATAAAGCTTGGTTGGGGCCTTATTAATCACAAAGATGCTTTATGGGTTAATTTCATGAGAGAGAACTATAAGTGTGATGAGAACTATACACATATATTATCCAAACACCTTACCCTCTTTCATCACACTCTCTCATTGCTCAACTCTATCAACCAATTATTTCTCACCCGTGCATTGCACGGGGTTAAATACTAGTTTTAATGAATTTTCTGTTTCCTCTCCAATAAATTGAGGGTTATTAAAATCCCTCCTCCTCTACTGAAATCACTCTCCCTTGTTCCTCCCTTTCTATTGGACCAAACTCTGCGTAAGCGGAGGATGCCTATGAATTCTATTTAACAAGGATGCACCCATGCCCTTTCATGATATACAGACGCTGGCAGTGGAGGAAATTCATAGGCATCTTGATTCTCCACAAGTTTGTAGAAGCATTTGATCATTATCTGCATAACAAATCTTCCATTTTCCTTCCTTCACCTCCAGGTATCACTTTGAACTTGGGACGCTGTCACCTGCAACCCAGTATTTCTTGACAGCAAACAGCACCTTCTCTGAAACAAGAGGACCATCCTCATGATCCTCCATCTTAGTATTCCATCTCATTCCTTTTGCAACCCTCTTCACCTGCATTAGCACCCCTACTTGATCTCGGATTATTACTGCTCCTTCAGGCCGTAATATACGGTCCATCTCCAATAATATGTCTTCTGTTCTACATCTGCATTGATAATCCAAGTTAGGGAAAACTCAGCGTAATTTCCCACCCCCGTCTCCAAGTTTGTTCTGTTTCTATTACATGGACTATAATTGTTCATCGATTTGTACAATCTTTCTGTTTATAAAACTTGCACCAGTCTTCCCATGGGATAACGATTCTTCTGAAAAAGGCAGAGATTCCAAAAGGAGGAGAGAAAGAAAAGAACATACTTATCCTTGTACAAGCTGAAAACACCATTTGCATGGATAAGATCATATGCCCTTGGATATGTGGAGAAGGCTTCACACCTGACACAAATATACAAAGTTATTAGATAGAATAAACGCTCTTTCTTATCACTTCTTTACTAAATATGAGAAGGCAACTGCATTTGATTAACCCACAAAACTCAACAATGCCATATGGTTTTCAAGTTATAGTCAAGTAGAAACGACAAGGCAACTTAGTCCTTGACAACTTTGTACAAGTTACATTTGCAGAGGAGGGACTAAATAGAAAAAAATGTCACAGAAGTTACCAGTCATGATAAATGCCAATCAATCCACGCTCGAATATAGCACCTAGGGTATCTTTCTCAGTGGTTGTAGGCATAACATTCATGACCCACAGTTTGGGAGATTCCAAGGCAGCAGCAAAGCTTCCTAGACCAGCGTTCATGTCCATGATGTTGCGATACCTGCCCGAGTCGATAATTTTGTTAATTCGCTTATAAGCACTCGCATGCTTCTTCCATGACCGGTTGTCATCTTCATATACCTCCACGGATATTCCAGGAATGGATCCACTAGATATTCTGAAAGGGACTTCATAGAGTCTCTTTGGGTATGGCTTCCATGAGTCAACAGCTTCGTGAGAAAGAGTTACACAATTTTCCATCTTCTTGTACCTAGACAGCAGTGAAACTTTCAGAGAAGCGTTGAAAGAAAAAAAATCCAAAAGATAGGGATTATACTAGAAGTTTATACATTATAAAGGACCAAAAATCCCTGGTCCCCCAGGAAAACTTCCCAGACCAATACTTATTGTCTCATAAGATATGATTTTTGCAGCCACAACGTTAATTTTAATGTGGCAGATAAAATGAACTACCAACTTCTCATTACTCTCTCCGTCCCATTTTATAAGACATTTTTGGAGGTGATTCGGTGTTGTAAAATATAAGACACTAATAAGAATAAGGTTTCATTAATCATACTATTTCAATATTACCCTTCTCTCCTTGTTATTTTCTCTCTCTCTCTTTAATGTTACACAAATAAAGTTATATTAAATAAAGGATACTTTTGAAAATTTATATTTGTGTTTTAAAAATAGAAGGTAAGCATAATTTTGTCTAAAAGTATCTCATAGACAGAGGGAGTACTTTCTAGCACTGGTGGAAAGTCTTAAAATTTTCAACAGGTTCTGCGCTTCACTGCTCATAAACACGAAATGAGGAGAAATTCGAGCAGGCATTAAAAATTAGAAACGACAATACTTTCTAGTTGCCGAACATAAAATTTGGTGTAAGAGCGAGAGGTAATCACCGAACCATGAGTTAAGAAATCAGGAAGGGACAAAAAAGAGAAGTAAAAGATTTTACCAGACATCATTTGCATTTACAAATTCACATCTTGTAGGCTGGGTATCTTGTTCAGGGCATTCATCATTATTTAATCTTTTTCTCCAGATGGCAATTTCACCTTTTTCATGTTTCTTTTCCCAGCACAGAAGTTTAGCAATATCTTCAATCTTCCTTTGCTCCTCCTCAAGTTCCGCTTCAGAACGTTGCCAAGCTTGGTAGTTATTCCTCCAGTTAATTGGAGGACCAGAAAGTATCCAGTAACCACCAGGTCTAAGAACTCGGTCCACTTCCATCATGTACATTCCACCTGTGGAAAGGAATCCAAAAATTGAATATTTAAAAAAAAAATCATATGTTCACTGAAAAATACTGCTATTCTTTGTTAAGGCACCACTGAACAGTCAAGAAAGACAACAAGAAACATGTTGCACCTTTTTAGAACATCAGCACGTAAGAAAAAGAGTGCGCTTTGATAACCATTACAAATTGGCAGAGCAAAGATTTTTAAATAAATATCATCAATATAAAATATAAAAAAAGTGTAGGAAGATACACTGTTCACAAGTCATGAACAATGCAACTCATTTTCAGCTCCATATAAATGCATGGGGTCTACATTAGTTCAAATTATGGGAACTTCTCATGACCACTTTGAACAAATTAAAGATAAGATGATTAGATTAAATGCAAGCCCAGTTGGAGCAGGCCTTAAGTCATTATGATGTGCATATTGTCAAATTCTGTTCACTACTCGTTCAGGAAAGCCCCGCCCTGTTGGCTCACAAAATTAATTCTATTGAGCCGATTGAAAGATTGTATAGTGAAATGCCTGAAACATCATGATTATTCTCACCATTTGAACCCCATGGAATTGAAAAGAGAGAACAATGAGCCATGTCAAAAGATCCGGCAGGGAAGGGCAGCTTTATGGTTCCAAGAACACCAATAATCGCTGGAACACCTCTTTCCAAAGCAAATTGAACTTGTGCTTCATGAGAATCCCTTGGCGCAATTGACATTGTAATCACCTTTTTCTTAAACAGGTATGCACCCAGACTAGCAACCTAAGGACCATCAGTGAGCAAAATATGAGCTACAGCATAGAAAAATCAAAGACAGAATCACAAAAATAGGTTAAAAAATAATATAATGATGTTTGCATATGATTTGACTCACCCCACAACCAATATCTAACGCAGTTCTAACCATCCCATTGTCCAATGGGATAACAGATGCAAGTTCATCAATATAAGCATCAGCTCCTTGGGGAAATTGTGTTCCTCCACCAGGGAACCTGAAAACACTCCCTTCATACTGAATCCAATTCTGTACAGCCTTCTCTACAGTCAGGCTCTTATAAGGCACATTTGCATATGGTACGTAATCCCGGCTCAAGGGCCATGGAAATGGTGTTACATAACCTCTAGGTGCAGGTATGAGACAATGCAGCTTTTCTTCTTCAGAAGGACAGTGCCTTTCTCTATAAACCATATTCTCTCTGGGGAATGTCATTGCTTGCATTTGATCATGACAGGGAGTGTAATCTATGTAGCGATCTTCACATGGCTTGAACTTTACTTTTAATTTAGGATCATCAAGTGTTCCATCAAAATCATGGTGGGTTTCATAATTTAAGTTAGAGAGAATGCTGCAATCTGTCTGCTTAGTGATCTCCCACGCTATGCTATCTCCCTTCCCAAAACCACTCCGTTGCCATGCACCCAATATATAGAAGAAACCACACAAGCCAACTATGATGAAAACTGATCTCGAAACCCTCCTTCTCTTGTCTCCTGGGTTTCCTTTTGTTGCCATGATGGACCTTTATTTTTCTCCAAACTAGACAGAAATGCTACAGATTTGAAGCAGAAGGTACTGATGCACAAACATTTAGTATTTACTGCGTTCCAAAGCTGGTATAATGATGCAGGATGAACATAATTATGTTACTTTTGAACATGCAAAAAGGAAAAAGAACCGGTCAGAGTTTCACTCTTGATAAAACAATCTACATAAATCCTAGTTTTCAAGCATCAAATACACGCATGTAACACAACCAAGCGCTGCTTAGTTATTACACGTTTCTAATGAAAATTTGAGCGAAACACTTAATCACTAAATAAATCGTTATGCCGAATTTATCTAACTAAAGCCACCAGCCAGGGTCAACTTAAATACATGAAACTAGCAATTAGAACAACTGCAGCATAAAACATAAACACAAACTCTTCTGATTTCCCTTGTGGCATCTCGTTAACCACAAACAAACAAACCTAAATTCCAGCAAAACCATAAGGAGACCGAGTAAAAGTTTTGGGGTTTGATCAGATAAACAATTGCGATCATCAAATCCACTATCCCTCTGAAAAAAAATCAGAAGAAAACAAGAATGGGAAAAGAAGAAAGAACAACTTTTAGCAGTCCCAATCGTTAGAATGGTCAAAACATGTGGATGAGGAGGGAAGAATTCGCACTGATCTCAGACGAATCAGAGAGTGTGCCAGGTCAAAATCAAAGACACATCTTCAGAGATAATCAATCGAAAGATTAAGAAGGATCTGCAGCATATGTTATCTCTGTAGTTGATAGCTTTATACCCAAACGCAGACCCTCCGCTTCGCATCAGTAGGAGGAGCCGCCCGCTATGAAGTAGAAAAGGCCGAAGTCCAAAACTAACCAACGAGTATTCAAATTTAAATTTTTAAAAATTATTAATAAAAATTACTGACAATGTAACACTATGCCTATCCTTTACTGCAATAATCTAATTATACCGTTAAATTACATGTTGATTATTTGGCTGCGATTTAATCTATGCTTCAACTTCACCTCAGATATTCAAGTAGTTGATTTTGTTCATACCTATGGGCCACCAAACAGAAGTGCTGACTCGTTTGTTGATTTCGATCCTTTCTTGCCACTTAAATGACTTCGGTATCTGTTTCTGGTTCTTCTCGTTTTTCTTTCTTTTGGTTACACCAACCAGAACAAATCTGGGAATACTATTATCGTCAACGTCAATGCAAATCAATATATATATATATATATATATATATATGGACACAATAAAATAAAGTAATAAAGCATAATAAATCACTGTAGGTAAATAGATCTTTGAATATTACTACAGTCTCGTTTTACTTTTTATTCAACAAATTATGTATAAAAAATTAAGTAACTTAACGTTGCATGCAAAAAATGTGTCGTGACGTGATTGACATTAAAAAAATTAATTTATATTTTTAAATTATTTTTTAAGAAATAGGAAATGTAAAAAAGAACTTTCAACATAAATAAGAAATTTTAAAATAAAATATATATGTCATTTTTTTAATATGAGAGGGTAACTAGTTATAAAGTATAACAATTTGTTATCTAAATTTTAATTTATCTAAGAATAACAACATCAAATAGCAAATTATTCTCTATATTTTTAATATATATATATATATATATATAAAAGTAACAAATCATAACAAATTGAAGTTGTTGCTTTTTATAAAAAGATAAAAGTAACAAATCATAAAGTCATTTGTGAGAAGAATAAAATAAAGAAAGAATAACAGGGTAGTCTCAAAAGACTCATTTAATATAAGTAAAGTTTCAAAAAAATTTGAAAAGTCAATAAACTCCCATGAGTCTTTAAGTGTGAAATCGTAATCTTAAATGACTTAAATACTTTTAGTAATTATTTAAAAAAAATTATTTCCGATGGATGAATCCATCGACTTGCCCCAAAGATTGTCCCAATCGCAGAGCAAGGGAGAAAACCTCTATGACATTCTATCTCACATAATGATAAAGACGCATAGATGCCAAAAGAAGCGGAGAACAGTGAGAGGTGGAGAATGCCAAACATTTTGTTATGGACAAAAGCTGATAAAGAAGTTAACATTCAACACTTGCATTTCAACCAGTGCCTATTGCTACTATGACAAAATAGGCCATTTCAACCGTATTTCTAAACCAGTTCATATGCATATGGTTTAAAAAGTAAATGCAATAATATTATTGTAAATAAATAAAAGGTTGAGATGATATTTAAATTGATTTCTTGTATAATTGATTTAGAAAATAATATTTAAATTGCTTATAATGTATAATCGATACACATATCTATTATATTTTAAAAATTTTTTTATTCTGAAGAGACATCTAAACAGGTTATAAAATATAACTAGTTTATATATTAATTTTTTTATTTTTTAAAAATAATTTTTTTAACATAACTAAATTGGTTATTAAAAAAATTCCTTTTTAATATATCTAAACCAATTTTTATTTATAACCAGTTTTGATATATTTTTTAAATTTCAAAAAAACCCTCTTTATTAGTTCATGGTCATTCACACTCAAAAGCACAACACGCATAAACCGCTATTTAGAATCATCTTCAAACCCAAAATTAGTTCATCACCATTCAAAATTAGTTCTTTGCCTTGTTTCGTGCTTGTGCCCTAACCTAGAATCAGTTCTTGTGCTCGTGTTCTTCATCTTCTACCTCCATTATTTGTCTTCAAGCTCGTTTGAAACACTCGAAACAAAAAGCTTGAAGCTAAAATCCCAAAGCTTCAAACCCTAAACCCCATGCTCATGCATTAAAACCAAAGCTTCAAACCCTTGTGCTTGTGTGATTCATGTGCTCTAGCTATTACCTAGATATTTTTTTTTAAGTTTTTGCTTTTTATTTTTCAAATTATAAGCCCATGTTCTATGGGTCTCACCATGATTTTTTCTTGAATTAGGTAATCCATGATCTTATGACTTTCTTGTCGTGGTTTTGCTGATTTTGGCTTCCTTGGATTTCTTCGCTGATTCTAGCTTCCTTGTATTGTATTAGTTCATTTTGTTAAGTTCATTTTTGCATAAAATACTTCTTGTATGATAAAATTTTAGCTTAGACTTGAGTATTTGAATATTTGAACCTTGCCTTTAAATATGAAATAATGGAATAGTGGTTGTAAATATGAATTTTTGTGTTGTTAATAATTAAGAAACTTGAGGACCTACATTAAATTGATCACTCGAGATGCCAACAGTGCCATATGAATTTAATCTTCACTAACTCCACTAGAGTAACCTCCCATCTTTTAACATGCCACATTTCACTACATATCTCTACTTGACCATATATAATTACTTTCTAAACAAATATAATAAATCTTACCACTTACTTCAAAAATATGAAATTTCACATATCAATACTCCACACATTTTCTAAAATACTTAACTTTTACAAAATCTATGTATGTATAGATAACCAATCATACAAAACAACTTGTGAATAACTTATACAAGATAATAAATAATGTAAATTATCTAGTTATCTTAACCCTTTTGTTACAAAAAGGGTTACTCGTGGTACTAAATCTCCTCTTGAGTCACAACAAGTTTTCCCCCATACCTCAATCTACAATAATAAGTACCATATGTTAATTTTCAATCAACACAGGAAATATTAACTACCTATATCACCCTAAATCTTCACCTTCTCACTCCTATCCTTAACATAAAGAAACTAGTCAAGGATACAACTAGCTCACTGTTGGATAGAGAGGCGCAGCGGAAGATTAAAATTTTAAAGTTCTTATCTTGATATGGACCGAATGACCTAGGTTAAAATATCAATGAGGGAAAAATTCTAAAAACTATGAACTTTTGAAGACCCATTATAATTTTGTCTGTTTGAGATAATCTTTAAAGACTTATTCTTATTTTTTGTATAAAAGTCTCTTGAAAGCTTAAATTATTGCCTGTAACAGCTTAGATTTTGGTGTTATATGATGTGTGAAGATTGCTTATGATGTGGCAAGTCCAAATTTTAGACATGCTTGATTAATTTTATAATTTTAAAATCTAAATTTGCAAGCTGTGATTGATTATAGATACAAAAATTGAATAGTTTGCAATTGAATAATTTTTAGGAACTCCAACTTTTAAGAAAAATTTTACGCATGTTAAGTCAAATATGTTAGCGTACTTCTTGAAAAAATATATATATTATCTATGATTGATTGAAGTTATTAGTGTTGGTTTATATGATTTTATTTTAGATTAATTGATTTTCACAGTGTTAGCATGCCTTTGGCCTGCATAAATCCTATTAACATACTTGCTTTCTATATTTTAATATTAAATTATTGTGACTACATGACTAATTTATTTTTATTTAAGAAAATTTAACTATGAAAAAGGCATAAATGTGCTCTGTTTTCATTGATTTATAAGTTACAAAGAATCAAATTTTTATAGATAAGAGATTAGGAAGAATTCACCCTAACCTTGTGATTCCAAAAGAAATATATATAAGTATATTTATATAAAGATTAATAAGTGATTAACGATGGTCACTAGCTGAAATGCAAGTGTTGAATGTTAATTTCTTCCTCTGCTTTTGCCCATGACAAAATGCTTGGCATCCTCCACCCCTCTCCATGTTCTTCGCTTCTCTTAGCATCCATGTACTTTTGTCATTGCGCGAGATTGAGTGCTATGGAGGTTTTCTCTTGTTGTGATTGGGACGATCTCTAGGGCAAGTCGACGGTTTCATCCGCCGAATATAAGAGAGAGATTTTTTTTAAATAAAAAAATTATTGAGGGTATTTAAGTATTAGGCCAAAAAAAATTTAAGTCATTTAAAATATTTGGCCAAAAAATTAAATAATTACTTATGGTATTTAAGTCATTTTAAGATTATGGTTTAACACTTCAAGACCCATGAGACTTTATTGGCTTTTCAAAATTTTTGGGGACTTTATTCGTATTAAATGAGCCTTCTGGGACTAATCTATCATTTTTCCTAAAATAAATTGTTAACATTCTAAATTTTTTAAACTAATTTTTTTCGAATAAACATGTAATTAGTCAAAACTCAACCGGTAATTATTTAACATGGCAGAAAAGTGTTTATTATGATAATAAAGGGTTTGATTTACTTTTTAAAACTGATAAAATTTATTATGGTAGAAAGAACAAAAGGTGACATTTTAAAATCTCACAATGGTAAAAAAAGGTTATCATGATAAGTAAGATTGTAAGAGTCAAAACAACTTTATGAAAACTTACTATGGTAGAGAAGAATTTTTCTTACAACTAAAACATTTATTAAAAATTGACTACCATAGTGGAAAAAGATATACTATAATAGAAAAGAGTTAAACATAACAAATCAAGCCTATTATGATAATTTAGGAAGAAATTGGGTTAAATAAGTATCCTAAATGGGATTCCATTGAAAATACTCATTTTAAATCCTGAAAGATTTTACAAAACTTATTTAGTAGTGAAGCATGATTTTTAGGGGCTAAAATTACCCAAAACAAGTTTAAAAATGGGTAAAGAGATAATTTTAAAAAACAAAGTTTGAACAAGGGCATTTATATCCCAGGCATGTCATATGTCGCAAAGCATGATATAGAGAAGACATTCTCCTCTTTGTGCCATACGTTGCAATGCAATCATGATAGTATAAACAAGTACAATGATTTTTAAATGGGCATAATTTTTTCTATAAATATTCAAATTTGATGATTCAAGTATTCACACAAAATTATTAGATAATTTAACTAATGATTTTAGTTTGGTGCAAAAATTCTCCTATATGAGAATTTTATCTACAAAGTCTCGTAATGGGTCCAAAACACAATTTCTAAACCCTTTTAACTTCCCAAACCC